CTGTAGAGACTTACAAGAATTGGTTTTGACTGGTTTTAAACAGTTTAACTTAGTGAAAATCCTAACCTATGCCTTGATAATCAGAGCTTCTCTGGTGGGGTTTGTGCCTGTCCTTGGGCCTCTCATAGTGGCTGGACTACAGAAGCCCAAAGAACACCGGTAAGTAATTACAGCCCTTCTCCAATGGGTCAGCAAGCTTTCTCTGGGAAGGGTCAGATAACAAATATTTTAGATTCTCTGGAAACACATAAAGGCTCTGTCATGCACTGTTTTGTGTTTTTAAAAAGCTTTCAAAATATAAAAACTATCTTTAGCTTATAGTCTGTATAAAAATAGGCCACAAATAGGATTTTGCCCATAGCCTGCAATTTGCTAACTTTCATTTATTCTTTCACATATTTCTTGAGGTATTTGACATATAATGGACTGAATACATTTATAAGGAATAATTTTATATGTGTTGACATAGGCATATGATAGAAAGCCATGGCCACACCCCAAACAGTGAACATAACCATTTTCCCACTAGCCCTGCCTCAGAAACCCTGATCTGCTTTCTGTCACTGTATTTAGTTTACACTTTCTAGTTTTATACCAGAAAAACCATATGGCATGAATGCTTTTAATTATTTTAAGGTCAAACACATTGTTGCATGTATCCATAATTCATTCTCATTTTTCAACCAATGCCTTCATTTATACAAGAATGGAAACTAAGGCTGGAGTCACCTGTCTCAAATCACTCAGGACATGAATGCTGGCCCAGAACGAGGCCCCTGACCCCTTATGCAAAATTATCCTCCCATGTCATTTCACTGCCAACCTCACTGTTGAGTTCTAAAGGCCCTAGAATCCTCTATAGGGTCAGCAAGGAAATAGTCCAAAGCAAAAACCAATTCAAGTTGAATCCCAGGTTTCCAAGACAAATCATTATTTAAGCTAGATCAAAGGGAGATTCACTTCTTAAGTAGTTACTGAATGCCAGGCAGTGTAGGTGGAACAAAACAGGTCCAATCCCCTACCGCTACTCCATATAGCTTATAGTATAGAAAGTAAAGAGAGACAGTGAAACAGAATGACAATGAACTGGATCATACTCCAAATAACTGGAGTCAGTTGTTTGTATGACATGGTGATCAAATTGCCCCAGAGAACAAGTGAAACAGAGGAAAGATTTTGCTGAAGGTTTCAGAGGGCTCAGTTCCTGCTTGTTTGGCCCCATATCCTTGAACAGATCATGGTAGTAAGAGGTTGTGGGCAACAAGCTTCTTTACCTCATGGCAGACAGAAGCAGAAAGATGAAGTGGCTGGAGACCAGGTTACTATAGCCTTCAAAAGCATGCCCCTGTCTACCCAGTGACCCACTTCTTCCAGCTAGACTCCTCCTCCTAAAATTTCCACTATCTCCCAAACTAGCACCACCAGCTTGGGACCAAGTGGTCAATGTATGGGGCATGTGGGGAATATTTCATATTCAAACCATAACAGAGAGGGAAAGTAACGTCTCGTTGACAGCAGCTATGGGACATGGAGGTCCCAGGGGCTCTGGCCTGGAAATCCTCTCAGACGAAGTGACAGGTGTGCAAGGGTAAGTGTGGCAATGGTGAGGAAACTAAAGATAGTAATAGTAGGTTCAGAGAAGGTATGTTTAGCTCCCTAAACCCACTACTGAGGCTGGATTTCATGATAAATGTAAGTTGTATGTTGAAAACAAAGCCATTGGAGACTGTGGGTAGAGGAGTAACAAGATCCAGTTCTTATTTTTTGAAAGATCACTCTGGCTTCTCACATATGATCAGAAAAGAGCAGGAGGCAGGGGAACTTTGCATTGTGTTTCTGGAAGTTCTTGTACCCTATCTCTCAGGCCTATAGGGAAAACATGTGCCATTGGATGGACTAGCTCACAACCACACAGTGAGATCTAGGACAAAAGCTGTTCTCCAAATTCAGGTGAGATTGGTTCACCTTGGTTGTTTTTAAGCAGGCTAAGGCTGCAGTTAAGCCAGGGCCTAGGATCTGGAGCCAGAAAATACTTTGAATTACTCTTCTTAAGGTCTATTTACTTTGTAGAACTGGCTGCAAAACTGTTGCTGACTTGGCCATCTATGTGGTAAGCAGCCAGGAACAACAGATTACCTGTCACTCTAGTATTTGCCTAGGGATCTTGCTGTACACTCAAGTCATTCATGGAGACCTTCCTTTTGGACTCTAAACACAAAACCGCCTTCCAGATTAATGGAGGAGGGACAGCTCAATCAAGCAAGTGGCAGCAAGGACTCCAGTTTCTAAGTGGTGAGGGTAGAGACTGGCTTTGGCTTTGCCAGTGCATATGTTACAAGTCCTTGGCCATGTCATCATTCCACTGTCTTAGCTCCTTCTTCATCTATAAGCCAGGATGGTTAAGGAGAATAACAGCTGCCTTCACTTTCTCAAAAGACACCAGCATGCATCCCCTTAAGCCATGGCTATCAACTGCTCCAAGAAGTGGAAGTAAATTTCTCCACCAACTTAAGCCCTCTCCTTGCCACAGTGCAGGGCCTGGAATACAGAGCCTAGCATATACTAGGGATCAAATCCAGGGCCTTTGCTATTGAGCCACACAGACTCCCCGGCTATTGTCCTCTGTTATTACCAGTGCATTAGTAGCTTTTGCTGAATGCCTAAGAGGTACCAGGCTCAAAGTGACCAGAATTTCACTGAAGTTACACTTCATTTCTTCCTGCATTGCTTATCTATCAACATTTCAACAACCCTGAAATGAGCTAAAAAGGTCTCTGCTGAACTCTGTGCCAGAGACCGCTGGCCAAACATGTCCTCTGAGAGATACAGGGTTTATGTAGGCCACTGAATAGTTCAGAGGTTAGCTAACTGCTCTGGAAAGGGCCAGATAGTAAATATTGTTGGCTCTGTAGGTCAGTCAGTCTTTGTCACAATTACTCAACTCTACAATTTTAGTGCAGCCATAGACCATGAATAGCCATGGCTGTGTGCCAATAAAATGCTATTTACGAAAACAGATAATAGACTAGATTTGGTCCATGGACTAGAGTTTGCCAACTGCTGATATAGATGAAAAATTGGAATCTGAGTATCTCTGGGCAGTTTTGTGTTTACCATGGACCTCCCCCCCACCCCCCCCGCCAAGTTAACCTCCACCAATTCCTACGGTGGCATCTCTAGTCTGGCATTAGTAATGATATGAACAATAGTTAATGATTTATTTAGATTTAATTTGTGTCAAACTCTATGCTAAGCAATGTACATATATTAACTCATTTAATCATCCCTGAAACCCTAGGATGAGCTCTATAAAAAAAAATGAAGCCAAGACAAGAAGCAGGAAGAGAAGCCTAAGTCTTGAGCTTTGAAAATGTTCTGGGTTGCTAAGCCACCTGGACAGGCAGGTGCCTGGATACACAGATCAGGACAGTGGACCACATGGTTCTTCTATTAACTCAGAGCCCAATGCTTATCAGAGGCATGCTCCTAGTTGGGGACCAGGCAGCAAGGAGGAGAAGGAACAAGACTGGCAAATGTGCCTATGGAAGTGGGGTGGGAACAGCAAGTCAGGCATTCGCGGTAGCAAAAAGTGACACAAGATCTGCCGGCCTGACAAGAGTGGCAGGAAGGCAAAGGTCAGGAAAAAGGAGAATTCCTTAGTCACTGATTGGTCAGTGAGGGCCACGCACTCTACAGAAGCATGAACTCCTCCCACTGTGCTACTGAAAGGCCACACAGCACATATGAATGACCTGCCTGGCTCCTGTGAGCAGGGGAGAGTCTTGGTCTCACTCTAGCTGGTCGAATAAGAACCTCAAGTTTAACAAGATCACAGGATCCACAGGAACTAATGAGGGGCGGCCTCCTCTGCATGGTAGTTTTTACCCATTTTATGGGTTAAACCCTTCATGTGCTGGTAAGTTGCTTAAGTCTGAACCACAGATTATGATTCCGGGGCTAGCATTGTTCTCCTGACAGGGTCAGAGCAAAGCCTCCAAGGTAACCACTTAGGCATGGATCATAATCTTAAGTGAACACTGCAGTGAGATCACAGATCTCATGAAATGATGGTCCTGCATCAACACCAATGCCCAGAAGGTTCACTTATGCTCAGGATCCTATTTGTTAAGAAATGTGGAAATTAAAGCAATACAACCAAACAAGTCTTCAATTAATCTTAATTTCCAGACATTTACTATGTGAGGACCAACTGACACTATTTCTAGGTTAGAATGTACATGGGTAGGTGGCTGAGTGAGGTCCCAAGTCAGTGTTATTTGTAACGTTTAGCAGTCATCTATTGGAAAACTCATAACTGATCAAAACATTTCAGAATATGAGCATGGACAGTTCAGCTTTGTCCATGTAGCAAAGGACAGAGTTACATGAGGAAGCACTGTGTCTTCATGAGTCAGGTTGTATACTAGGTTACCAAAGACAACTTCACCACATTCAGTTATGTACTGTGTATACACAAGAACACATTTTTAAAAGTCAAGCTTAAAAATGTCAGGCTAAAAGCAAACTATTTGGGAACTATGATCTCCCAAAATAACTCATTAAGAGACAATAAAAAATGTGTATGTCCAGTACAAACACAATTCTTTTTTTGTAGAATGTTTTGAATCCCCAGTGGGCTGAATCTATAAATATGGACACCCACAGGTATGGGGGGGCTCCTATCTAAGAGGTAAAAGAAACTGGTATGTCACTTCCAGAGACATACAGAGAGCCGAAGGGTTTCTGAAACCGCTGTAATGATGGACATGTTTAACAGGCTTGGTTAGATGCCCAAGAGCTGGAGCAAACAAACCCCTGAACATTCTTGTTTATGTATAAGCAGATCCCATTAAGCCCTGGGCACTTGGCTTGATTACTCCCTGGATCAAAGTTAAATTAAATTATCCAATAAGCTTCTTTTCAGAGAGCAAGGCATGCGCGCATGCACGCACACACACACATACACACACACACACACACACACACACGAGCTGACTCACCTTCCAGAAGCTATCCACTTTGCCATACACAAGGGACTGGTTCTGCCTTTTGATTTCATTAATATGGTGAATGTCACTGGAGTTCAGGTGCTGCTCGACCACAAACCCCAGAAAGCTGTTGTCTGGGGTGTGAGCTGATATAGAAAACAAAGGAAAGAGCTGTTAGGGTTCAATCAGCAAGCAATAGCAGCAATTATAGATTTATTACAAGCCATCTCTCATCATTATGTGTTTCCACCCTCATCTGAAAGGGGTATGGGATCATCCTCTCCCGCACACATCCCCGGCAAAATCTTCACATGCACACAGTTCTTGCCAGGACTGCATTACCCTGAACTAGATCCTATGCTTTTGAGGGGAAAAATCCATCGCTGCTTAGGACAAGGATGGTTTCCTGGTATACATGCCTTCTTTGACAAGGTGGGCTTTCTCTCAGTTGTCAGATATCCAGAAGGAACAAAGATAGCTGATCAGTTGCTCTAAACAGGGTGGAGTTCACACCATCTGATCTTACTCTAGCCATGTAAACCATCCAGTTGTGCAAAAAGGAGTTTGAGGTGGGGTAGGAAATTGAGTACTATCACCCCAAATTTTATGTTCTTTCAGAATTACTTGCTGATCAAGGGCAGACAGTCATGCACTGCATAATGACGTTTCAGTAACAATGCAAACAGTGGTCTTAAAAGACAATAGGGCCTATTGACATCCTAAACTTCTTGGTTTGTGGAAGTCCATCTTTCAATGTTTGCACAATGACAAAATGTCATAAGGTCAGGCTTTTAGAGGACACCTCCCTTAAGCAACACAGGATTGTGATTGAGGGGCTAACTTGAACAGGTGCATGGAATGCAAACAGAACATAAGGCAAAGTCTACTCTCTAAAAGTCACCACTCTCTAAAGCCAGCCACAACAGAGGATCCTTGTTTTTCTGGATTCTCCTTTACCATGGAGCCTGCAACTTCTCTATTTTAACACTTCACCAGCAAGAGATTGAATTCTATAGCTCCTCAAATATTTGCACCGTGAGCCAGTGGTTTGAAAAGGAGTTTCAGTAGGTACTGACAATTGATTTGCTCTCGATAAAGCAGAGCCCCTCTTCTCTGCCTTCATCCTGTCCGGACAAATCTGTTTAGAGACAGCTCAACAGAGACCACACACGACTAATATTAAATGAAGCAACTTCTCTGTTTGGTCTGACCTGAATAGGCTAGCTATAAATAACAGGAAACCAAATCCTCCTAGTAATTGAGCTAGTCTTGTGATTCAGTAATCTGCACGCTGCAACGTCAACCACATCCATTCACAGGTGGGTGGTTAACAAATAGGAAAGTGGGTTCCTTTGTTTAGTGGTGGTTTTCCTGGAACTAAAGAAACCTTTCCCAGGCACAAAGTCACGGAAGCTCTTTAAGCAGTGTGAGGTAGACAACACAGGCCTAGGAGTCAACACCCCAGCTTCATTTATTGTCGTCCTGCGCAGGGAGCAGCCAGAGGAAGAGGGATGCTGGCAAAAAGCCTGGAGCTATGGAGATGCTCAGCTTGCATAAATACTGTGCTGTCACCATCCAGTTTCCCAGGCCTTTGCCTAATGGGGGTGACAGAACCAGAGATAATAGGGTTGTGGCTGGGGAGTTGTGTTGGGTCTGGCCGATCTGTTATTTCATTTCTGTGTTTTTGAACAAGTGCCCAGAGGCAAGGGCAATGGCTGCAGTTGGCTGAGAAGTAAATTACTGAATAAATTCTACCGCCAACAAGAGGGATGGCGACTTCTTTTTCTTTCTGAGGAGCCCAAAAAGAGAGAGGATTGAAGAGGATGGGGCAGGAGAAGACAAGACTGTGTGCATGCTGAATGTCATTAGGTAGCTTACCATGTCTTTTAAAGATTTTTGTTACTTTGAAAAATTCTGAGCCAGAATCAAATCCTGTAGACTTTGTGAGCTTTTATTTTCTTCTTATTCTGAAAAATCAATGTGGTATCTAGTGCACTATTGTTGAGATATATGTTTCGGTGATTCAGTTATCTGTTCTTTGTGTGGACACTTTGTAAAGAAATGAAATAATGCAGTACGTAAGATATTTAACAGATCTTATTTCATTGTTAGACTACATTAAGGTGAAGTAAAAAAGTAAAACGTTTATTAGGTTTCTCAAAGAAAGAAAATACATATATAGAAATTTTCATGTCTAAGATTCCCCTTGGAACAGCTTGGTTGGTAAGGGGGTAGAAAAGAGTAAACAGTCTGTTCCAAACACTTGTGAGAAAATGCAGGTTCTGCTGCATTGTGACTATACTTTGATGTTACACCAACTTTTGACAGTATATGAAAAACAAGTTAGACTTCTAAGCTCCCCTTAAATTTTCATCCAAGTATGGGGGCGGGTGGTACCAAAGTGTTAACTAGCCCAAGGCCTCGCAATTACTAGATAGACACTTTATTACTTACGTTATACCCATTACCCCTTTCATTTTATTTTCCCAGAATTCTTCCACTGCTAGCCTGGACTGCGATCCTCCTACTTACACTTATACCTCCTTCATAGCTGGATGACAGGTACAAACCACCACACACAGTCATTTTTCTGAGTCAGGCTTGTGAACTCTTTGCTTGGGTTGACTTCGAACCACAAACCTGTCATGCACATACTTCCTATCTCATTGTGAAATGGTACCTTGATGAACCACCACCTCCATATGCATGAGGATCTCAAATGCTTACAAAAGGACACCCACACTTAATGAATCCAGGAATGCACACAAGTCTCACTCCTGTCTTTTTTTTTTTGAGATAAAGCTAAATTTGTCATTTTACATTAAACTTTATTCAGCACAAGGTTTCTCAAATATGACTTGCCCCTGCAAAGGATTTTTACGTAACCACAGGCCAGGTACGGCTTGGTTCCAAGGAGATCCAACATACAGTGGCCCTGCTTGTTAACAACTGTAGTGCCCTGGTCTCAACCTATGCCTTCCTTACATATCTTTTTTTTTTTCAAATTCTTTATTGTGATTGAGTGGTTACATAATTTCCCAAATTTCACACTATTATTGGATAGTGATGCTTAGTTAAAGTCACAAGCACTTTCTAACTTTCACGGGGCAAATTGTCTATCACACTTATGAGTTCTATGAGCTTTGCAATACAGTTATTTCTTCCACATTGGGTGATATGTACATTTCTTTTGTTTTGCACAGTGTCAGCTGTTCCCTCTTTCCCACTCATTCCCTCCATCACTGCCATTGAGTTGCTTAGTTCATTTTGATCAATGTCCAGTGCAGCTGATGGGTCCTGCTGTTGTATGTTTTTCCCTGATTCCCTCTAGTTCTGTGTCATCCTCCTGGTTTCCCTCTGGTGTGCACATATATACCATATATGTGATCAGCAGCATGGGGCTATTTAGTAGTGATTCAACCAGATGAGTGGAAGTCCTTTGTTTCTTAAGTCTTGTTAATTTTGTATATCACCTTACATTTTGGATTTAACATGCACTTAGCAGGGAGACCATGTGCCATTTGTCTCTTTGCTCTCGGCTTACCATGCTCAACATGATTTCTTCTAGCTCCATCCATTTCCCTGCAAATGCAATTATTTTGTCCTTTCTAATGGCTGCATAATATTCCATTGTGTATAGATACCACAATTTTTGGATCCATTCATCTGTGGTGGGACATCTGGGTTGTTTCCATATCCTGGCTATTGTGAATAGTGCTGCAATAAACATGGAGGTGCATGTGTCCTTGTATACTGGTTCCTATTGTTCAGGATAGATGCCTAGAAATGGTATGACTGGGTCATAAGGGAGGTCAATATTTAGCTTTCTGAGGACCCTCCAGACTGCTTTCCAAAGTGGTTGTATAAGTGTACATTCCCACCAGCAGTGTAATAGGGTTCCTCTTTCTCTGCATCCCCTCCAGCATTTGTCGTTGCATTCTGACTGGGGTAAGGTGGTATCTCAGGGTTGTCTTTATTTGCATTTCCTTCACAACCAGGGATGGTGAAAATTTCCTCATGTGTTTCTTTGCCATTTTTATTTCTTCTTCTGAGAAGTCTCTCTTTAGTTCCCTTGCCCATTTAGTAACTGGTTTGTTAGGTTTGGGAGGGATTAGTTTCTTGAGTTCCCTGTATATACTGGATATTAACCCCTTGTCTGATATATTTCTGGTAAATATTTTTTCCCAATTAGTTGGTTGTCTTTCTAGCTTTGTTGCTGTAGCTTTAGCTATGCAGAAACTTTTTATTTTAAGGTAGTCCCATTTGTCAAGTCTCTCTCCAATTTGTTGTGACCCTGGGACTCTGTTCAGGAAGTTCCTGCCTGTGCCTATAAATTCAAGTGTCTCTCCTGCAGTAGTTTCAGAGATTCAGGTTTGATGTTAAGATTTTTAATCCATTTTGAGTTGATGTTGGTGCATGGTGATAGGCTGAGGTCCACATTTAGTTTTCTGCATGTGGCCTCCCGGTTTTCCCAGCACCAGTAGTTGAATAGGCTGTTTCTTCCACTGTATGTCTTTGGCTCCTTTGTCAAATATCAGCTGACTGCAGGCATGTGGTTTTATTTCTGGATCTTCTATTCCATTGGTCTTCGGGTCTCTTTTTGTGCCAGTACCATGCTGTCTTTATTATGGCTCTATAGTAGAGTTTGAAGTCTGGCATTGAGATCCCTCCCATGTTGTCTTTTTTGCCTAGAATTATTTTGGCTATTCTAGGTCTTTTATTGTTCCATATGGATTTTTGGACTGTTTTCTGTGTTTCAGAAATGTACGTCATTGGATTTTAATAGGAATTGCATTGAATTTATATATACATTTTGACAGTATTGCCATTTTTACTATATTAAGTCTGTTTATCCAAGAGCATGGAAGGTCTTTCCATTTCTGGTATCTTCTGTAATTTCTTTAAGTTTTTATAGTTTTCATTAAATAGTTATTTTACATCTTTTGTTAGGTTAATTCCTAAATCTTTTTTTGGGGGGGTATTGTGAATGGGGTTGCTTCCTTTATTTCCCTCTCTGTGTGTACATTGTCAGTGTGCAGGAAGGCAACTGATTTTTGTGGGTTGATTTTGTATCCTTCTAAGAGTTTGGGGATAGAATTTTTGGGATCATGAAAGTATAGTATCATGTCATCTGCAAAAAAGGGAT